ATTTGAAATTTTGAAGCCCTCAAATAGTTCTGTCATATAATTTCTTACAATTAGTGAGGCTAATTTTACTGTCATGTAGACTGTGCCAAAAACTTTTCCAGCTACTACTAAGCCCAAATCAGAAATTTTAAAGTTTATATGCCAAAAAATAATGCATGTTTTACATTTAAACATTTAAGAACGCAAAATCTACAGGTGGAAGGGGGGGGGGGGTAAAATTTTAAGGTGTACATTGTACATGTTTATGTTAATGTGATACTTGTAGTAAAACTTTATATTTAGGACCATCAATCTCAATCAATGGTCAGTAAAGCAGACAAGACCTTTCACCGTGTGTACTCTTGTTTTTCTATAATTCAAAGAATAAAAAACAGAAATTTATGTTTTACAAATGCAAATGTCAAACTGAAGTATCTCAAAGTATTTAGAAAGTTATGAAGGTAAATTTTTCTTTGCATTTTTTCGATAGTGCATAACAAATTCAATTTTAAGGAAAAATCAACGAGTGATTGTATGCCCTTAACATGACTACAATTGTTGATGTTTTTTAACAATAATGCCATTTTCTTTCAGTATGCCAAGAAAAAGAAGAAAGCCATCAGTTTGCCAAAGAAGAAAGTAATCTTATGATAATGAGAAGAAACCGAAACTAGATATGGTCAACAAAAACACGCTTTCTGGCTTGACATGTACACAAGCAGATAAAATAATAAATGAGATTTTAGCTGAAGTTGAAAGTGAAGGTGAAGTTGACAATGATATAAGTGTAGATAATATTCAGTGTGAAGAATTTATACAAATGAACGTTGACAATTTAAATCAACATGTTCGATGTGAGGTCAATGATGACAAAATATCTGGCTGGACAGCAGTCGATAAGATAATGCACGAGATTTTAATTGAAGCTAATGAAGGTGAAGTGGACAATGAAGAAAATGAAGTGTACAATTACACAAGTGCAGAAGAATTTTTGCAAACTAGCTTTCTCAAGCAACAGCATGGTCACTGCAGTAGCAACACAGACTGAGTCTCCCTTATCAGAACTGTTTGAATTTGAGCAATTAGTATGAACATTGAAATCAGAACTAAGTGAAAATTATATAACTTTATAAAGATTCAAATAGGATAAACATATTAGAACCTTATCATGGAAAAGATAAAACTGACATTAAGATTAAACTCTCAGTGGTTATAGATGCCAACTTTCTACCAAGGATTTTCGTCAACAACAAAGAAATGGGAAGGACAATAACATTTGGACAGGACTTCCAACAGTGTAAAATAGCACAGATTCGACGCAAAAACTGCTAGCAAGACTCCGCATGTATGTGTTGGTAATCCAGATGAGGAATTTCAGTACAATACTCCAGTTTGCTCAGGAATTAGTGATGTGTTTACAAAAGAAATAAGGTGTTATCGTGAAGGTGATTATGGTGCCTCAAAGTGGGATACTGCTTACACATCAACTATACGTTCTGTCAGATGCAAAATGCTTGTTCATGGTGGTCGTTGTTCGTCTTGAGCAGAAGACCGACGAATATTGAGAAAAAGACAACAGAGAGCAGAAGAGAAGAAAACTTCAACACCTGTGATTTTCGTTCCTCGAAGATATCAACATAAATACATGTCCAGAGAAAATCTAGTGACTAAAATTGAACAGAGAACTGAAATGAGAACTCGGTCTTCAGAAGTAGAAAAATTAAAGAGACAGCTTCATAAACAAATATTGCAAAATGGCGTATCTTTCAAAAATACAAGCTTAGAAAACATTGAACTGAAAGATCTCATGTCAACATGTCAAAATGACTTTGAGCAAGCCTTTCCAAATCCAAATAGCCTCCAACGATTATTCTGGGAATAGCAGATTAAATACAATACTGCAGGAGAGAATGGCATGCGTTGGCACCCGATGTTAATAAGATGGTGCTTGTTCATGAGAAGCAAAAGTGCGAAGGCTTACGATTCTATGAGGGACAGTGGTTTTATATAGCTACCAAATACAAGAACACTCTTTGATTAATCTATTTATACGAAGAGTGCTCTGGGTTTCCAATCAGATGTGATGAATATGTTAAATGATGAAGCAACCAAGTTAGGTAAGAAACTAACTGATTACATTACAATTTATATTCTATAGGAGGTAGGATATCTGTCAAAATGAATAATTTTATCATGAAAACATATCGATACATTGGCTTTCAGCATTTCAGGACATAGAAAAATTATTTAATCAAAATTAAGCCATAATATAAAACAAAATGTCATGTAACTTGATATCATAGTCTTAAACATGTTAAAAATTTAATAATAAGTGTCCACTTCTGTTTGGGTATCTTTGAGTAGGCACCTTCAAAGTCTATAAAATAAATGTTCTACTTGAATCATGTACATGTACCTGTCCTGATGCCTATGCAATTATATTCAGCAAGAAGTCCTATTTAAACAAAATAATGTCAACAGTAGTCAGAATATAAATATATTTCAATGCATGTACAACTGTTTGCAGCAATACACATTTAAGTTACATAAATAATTTCACCTGCACATTCTTACTGCATGTTTAAATACAATTAAAATAGAGACGCTGTGTGAAATTTATCAAAACAGCAAACCAACAACACAAAAAAAAAAGACTTGCATTTTTATTTTGACCTAAAAGCAAAACATGTGATGTTCAGTGTACATGTACAACAATGTACCTATATATATACAATATATGTACATTGTCGGAAAATATAAAATCTATTTGTATGAGCTTTAGAAACAGGACGAAAAGCTTTTCTCCTGTTTCGTAGCGAGTTCAAAACAAATTTATATTTTCCGACAATGTACATATATTGTTTTTATCCTAAAATTTACACCTAAAACTTGAAACTTTATTTGTTAAAATCTAAATCATTGTCTATAATTATTCAAAGAAAACGACATAGTTTAAACGCGGATCACGAAGAGGACCCCAAAATGAACTGGTACGCAAAAAGAAATATCAACATTACCGCTTGCTCAACATGGAAGCAGGGTAACAGGAGGCTTTATTTGTACAAGTACAAATAAAGCAAAAATTTATTTGTGTACCTGTTATTTGTACAATAGTTAGCTGATTGCAGGATAAATATATATATAGCTATGTGGTTGCATTGATCAGGTTATGGGCCCGAACTGTCAGTATACAATTATGTGCTGATTGATATTATCTTTATTGTTTACAATAACCTTGAAATTGGACATATACATTGTATTAAAAAATTTTTTAGGGTAATGTGGTAAATATCTAAGATGTTTATATAAAAATAAGATGTGGTATGATTGCCAATGAGACAACTCTCCACCAGAGCCCACATTCTGTAACTTTATATATATATATTATTGACATCAAGGTTCCTTTGAATTGTTATTGCAAATTCAACAATGTCACAGAAGATAGGGTGTACATGTAGTTGGAATGGTTGAAACTTCTTCTTTTTGTATTTTTAAAAGTACAAATATGATGTTATAAATCTAAATGATACCTTGATAATTTGCATATTCCTGTGACCTGATAAGATCATGTACCACAGTTAACAGCGGGTCGGTTGTTCGATGTTAAGTAAGTGTATTTAGGAATTTAGGAATTCAATGGCTTCATTATTTTATTCTATGAAGGATTTCATTTTTTTTCAGCTATGTATGAAGACAACCATAAAAGCTTTGTTGGTATTTTATTTGATGAAATAAAGATACAGGAGGATTTAGTGTACGACAAGCACACTGGAGAGTTGATAGGCTATTGTGATTTAGACTCCATTGGTAATGAGATAATGAACTTGGAAAATCTAGTTAGAAACTGTAACAAATCTCAACTTGCAAAATTCATGCTAGTGATTATGGTTAAGAGGTGTGACCAGTAATTTGAAATTTCCGCTAGCTGGGTTTGCTACAAACAGTATAACAGCTGATTTTTTATATCCCATCATTTGGAAGGCCGTTTCATTGTTAGAATGTGTGGTAAAGTTGAAAGTTTTATTTTGTAGGTGCGACGGAGCATCAGCTAACAGGCATTTTTTTTTCAACTACACAAGGCAGATAATTCTGAGGAACCAGTTTATTTCACCAACAACTCACATGACAACAGCAGAAATTTGTACTTTATATCAGATGTTCCCCATTTAATTAAAACTGAGAGAAACTGCTTCAGCAACTCCTTTTCACATAAAAACATGAGACGATTATGAAAACATGGAAAGGACATCTCATGGATGCACATTGTGAGACTTTTTGAGGACAACTGTGAGTTGCAACTGTAAAGTCCCTGTCCAAAGTTAACCAGGAGCCACATTGACCTTGCAGCATTCACTTATATGAAGGTAAAATTGGCCGCTCAAATTCTAAGTGGTAATGTAGCCAATGCATTGTATTGTATGACGACAATGTGTCAGAGACTGTTTTGTTCATTCAGAATTTTTTGAATGCCTGAATGTGCGAAATTTGTTTGAAAGGACGCAATGAAAGGAATCCGGATTTGGAACCCTTCACAATAGGAGATGATCCTCGATTGAATTGGTTGAACTCATCCTTTTTGGATTATTTGAAGGAATGGAAACAGTCCGTCATGCAAAGACCAAACCTGGCACTTTCGCAGAAACTATCTTTGCAACTAAGCGCACAAACTCTAGCTGGTGTGAAAATAAGCATAAATTCAATAACAGAATGTGTAAAATTTATGTTGGACCAAGGAGCTGATTTTGTATTAACATACAACTTTAACCAGGACCCACTTGAACAGAATTTCGGTCACTATAGACACAAGGGAGGAGCCAATAACAAATCCAGTGTTTATGATGTAAGAAATACCATGACACAGCTATGTGCTGTTGGAGCTCAATCAATGAATCCCAAGCGTGGAAATATTACCAAGTTTGACAATATTGAAAATGTAATTGACAACACCAAACTACCACGAAAGGGATAAAAATAAAGAATATCTAAAAACCAATAGAGATTAGTAATTGTAAGTGTATATCTAAAATTGCATTTTTTTTTTATTTGTGATGTCAACATAAATCATAATTATATACATTGTACATGCACATTGCAAATTTATGATAATGACAACAAAGTTAATAGGAACATATAAAAATGAAAAGAGAATAAATAAGAGTGAGCATGGCTATAAATGTAACTGATGTTCTTAACATTTCACATACATACCCTTAAATGATACAGTTAATTGTCATGTTTTTCTTTCAAAACTTGTTTGAGGCTCAACGACTTCTTTGATGCGACTTTGTCTTTTATCACTTTGTTTCTTATCACTTTGGCAGTAGAAAACAACGGATTGTCAGAAATAGGTGAATGATGTCCTACCAAGATTAAAATGTAGTTGTCATAGTCATTACCCACAAAAACCTGCTCAGAGTAATATTTGACCATGAATGACTTCATACTAAGTTCTTTCAATTTATCACGTAACACGGATTTAGCATTTAGTTCTTGGTCTCCTAGATGCTTCCTTACTACTGTTTCAAATTCTCTGGTTAACAAATAAAAGTTGTCGGACGGTGTTATTAAACCACCTCTGTCTTTCTTCTCTGTCCATTTGTTGTATTTGCTTACAAAGGAATGAGTGGTTGATGTTGACTTAAGTTGCTCAATGCAGCTAATCTTCATTGACCGCAGATCACCTTTAAGCTTGGTCTAGCGTTTTTCACATGCACGAATTATATAACCACATATGTAAAACAACATATTCTGGTCATTCTCACTGAGCTCTGAGTGATTTATATTGGATGATTTCTGTTCTTGGATTGTTTGTTGAGTAAGCAACTGGTTTATTAATTCCAACATAACAATTTGAATGAAATTTTTATTATCCAGAGGAGTAAAACCATTTTTTGAAGAACTTAGTCTTATAGCATGAAACTTTGTAAAGAATAACTCCCTGTCATGATTTAAACTTAAGTTTGGATTTGAGTTGAAGATCTCACTGAACAGGTCATAGAAAAATGTCTTTACCTCACCGCTATTAGAAATACTTTTTGCAATTTTAACTGTTGTGGACTCACCAAAAATACTGTACATGGGGTCCTCTTCAATACATTTGAGAGTATTGTTGTATGCAGAGAGGAATATCGAGTCCAGTGTTACTGTTGTCATTGTATATTGATGACTGGTATTGGTAGTAGTAACTTGGTCTTGAAGGACCTTACCATCTTGGATTTTTTGTTGAAAAGCTGTAAATTTAATAAAAATTTATAGAATTCTGATGTGAAAGAATAACTTCAAATAATTAAATACAAATGAACTATTGCACATGATATATAAATATCTATCTGTTCTAAGTCAGGACAAGAATAAATTTTATTTGTAAACAGCTGCAGGTGGATTGTTGAGCATAATGGCCTGTTGTATAAAGATGGAGTTGGGAGTTAAATTTTATGCCACATTAAAAAAGATTGTTATTTTTTAATTATTTTAGGTGTAAGACAATGAGGCAGCCAGAGCCCTTCATTATTAATTTGCTGTATTCATACATGTAGCTTTAAGTTAACGTTATGCAAATGATTTAATTTTACTGTCTTCACCAGTGGCTTCAAAAGGATCTGATCATTGCTTATAAGTCAAAATATTTTTTTGTGTATTCTTGTTCATGTATGTATTTTAATTTATTTGTTATTGAAATGATTGACATTTGTATGTGATTTTTTGCATTAAAGATATATGAGTAACTTATGAAATTTATATTGACTACTTAGGAATCTCATGACAATATTGTTTAAATAGATGGTTCAGTTTCATGGACATTGAAAATCTTGTTGGTCTTTTTTTGGTAAATACTGCTTATTTACCATCTTCGCTAGCCAAGGGTTACGATCCACTTCCCTCCTCTCCACCCTTGGCGGATTCAGATAGAATTTCGGAGACACAAGGAAATGATTTTCATTGGTTGCAGTCGAAACTCGCTGCATCCAATCAAAAAGCGCCTATAACATGATCACGTGTAAATGTAAAAAGTGTATGTAAACAATTGCCACGTGCTTATTGTGCAACAAGTCTTTACATCCCTAAACATACGACTATATTTAGTGACAATTTGAATGTTTTTAATCAATTAATAGAAGTTCCTGTGTATGTTTCTTGCACAAATGCATGAATGTCAACGTATATTTTCGTTTCCTGCTTTGCCAAGTGTGTAGAATCTAGACGCTACCGTGTTTTTACCTCCAAACTGAAGAGTTCAAGTGCTACCATTGGTCAAGAATAATGTATTCGGAATGGGCGTGGCTTTAATCTACCCATAGATGGCACAACATTGTTATCACAAATGTTGGCTTAATCTGCCAAGGGTGGAGAGGAGGGAAGTGGATCGTAACCCTTGGCTAGCGAAGATGCTTATTTACAAGCTTCACATGGAATATTTTTAGCACTTCTACTTGCACACTTACTTTGAAGAAAAAAAAATAACAGTCCACGATGCACTACACAGAAAATTAAAGATTGAGCAACACAAATCGACAAAAATGAGATAGAAATTATGAGCAAATCTGACACTCCCTGACTACAGACACACAGAAATGCAGCACAACTAATGTAAATAACACTAATAATTCATGTTGGCACTTATTGTAGCTGACCATAGAGTATGGGTTTTGCTCATAGTTGAAGGATGTACAGTGACCTATAATTACTCAAAAATCCATGTTGGATAGTTCTCTCATTTGCAATTATACCACATCTCCTTATTTCAAAGGGATAGAGATAGTTGTTAATCAGCCTTAAAAAATAATGACAGCAAGTAATTCGACACCATTAAGTGGGCACTGTTTTTATTTAAGGTAGTTTTCATACTATTAGTGTTGAAAGGATGTGTCATTCATAAGACCATACTAGTAAAGGTTGCACTTGATTCACAAACCTCCATCTTTTGGGGAGATATCTGATATTCATAGATATTATGTTCTGTTTACATACTGTTTCATCTCATTGAGACACAGCTTGGAAATTTTACCAGTATAAAGACATTTGGATATTGGATAACAGTCAAATCAAGTTCTCAAGAAGGCAAAAAGTAAAGTGAAGGTAGACAGAATTTTAGTGTTAGTTTATACTCTTAAAAGTTTTAGGCATATAAAAGGTAAAATATATGCCGCACAACCCTGTTTTGACCTCAGCTAAAAATGATAATGCATGTGAACTTTCCATTCCATGATATCATTTTTCAAAAACTTCATAATTCGATTGGAGTCCTGATTATGATAAAAAAATATATTGCCATTCTTTAGGCCATTAAGGTCAAAACAAATATATATGCTTGTTCCTGTCTGCTTTTTATAATTTTGTCTATTTTATAAAAGGAAATTTACTGGACAGAAACAATGCCTAGCCAAAAATGTCCATGAAATGTGTTGGCTAGGCAGGAAAATTTTAAGAACAATGTAAATGGGGATACCAGAAACAACCACATATAAGTGTTTTGGCCTTACTTAAATGTTAGTACTAGTATCACAGCTTCACATCTCTATGAACTTTCTTAGATGTATTATTTTTAGGAGAGTATATATATATTTGGACAAACAATACAAAAATATTACAAACCTTTTAAATTGCTCTTCCATGTTGTTTTGATGTATGACCAGGAAAACCAGAGATTGTTTTTAACACTTTATTGCAATCAGGACACATATATCCTGAACACTGAATGTCATTTTTTGGCTTCTTGCATGCAGAGTCAGCAATAGTTTCACTGTCAGTATAATCACCAAGAAGATATTCTAGTTCAAAGTCATCTAAATCATCACCCCACGATAAAGAATCGGACTTCAACATAATTTCACTTGCATGTGTAATGTGCAGACTTTTGCAAAGGAATGAAGTACAGTAAATGTTTTTTGCATTATTAAGATTATAATCTTTACCAAATTTTAATTTTAGAATTAATAATGCTGAAAAAAAAAAGAGAAAATTTCTCAATTTATGTTTATTTTACTTTGAACTTTTGATATATTTGTTAGCATCCAAGCCATTGATACTGTAAATTCAGAAATTATTGCGATGTTTTTATTATTGCGAAAAATGCGACAGGTTTATAATCGCAATAATTAAAACTCGCATTTTGAAATTTTTTATATGAATTAAACAGGAATTTTCTCAATATCGCAAAAATTAAAATCGCATTTTAGTCTAAAATGACAAAATCGCAATAATAAATGCACGCAATAATTTCTCAATTTACAGTAGTCTTTTCATTAATTAACTCTTCACAAATCAGTAACCATCCAAGCTCATAGTTTCACTCATTTTCTTATATATACATCGTCGGTGATTGGAAATGTCTTTTACTAGCTTCGACAATAATTGTATGTAATTAATAATTATCATTGATTAATGTATAAAAATAATATAAACAAAGATTTTCAAGCAGTTTATTAAGATATAAATTTATTGATCAGAGATATATTTTCCCCTTCTATTATACAACAACATTGATTTAGGTTAGTTATCGAGGGTTATCCACCCCTGATTTATAGAGCAATTCATCAGCAAGATTTAAAGTGATTTCACGGAGTTGCCAATCTCTGTGTATATATGTCTCTGATAATCTATACAAAATCTGACAATTTTGCACAACCTGCAGCATAAAAAAAAGCCCAGTGACCCATACTTTTTGTTATATTTTTGATGATATAAACTACATTTTGACAAATTATTTTAAAGTTCTATGGTTTTTAATTTTTTTTTTAAATATTTAAAGAACTCAAATGAAATATAATTCATAACTACAAAATATTTGTCGTTCATTCAGGATTTTTCTTTGCAGGAGACCTTTATTATGACAATAAATATTAAAATGTAAAAGTGTGAAGTTACATCAATTAGCACCAAAAAAAATATTATCATTCCCTCCTAGGAGAGATATGATTCCTATACAGGAGGTATAAAACAATTGAGGTTCTCTGACATGCAAACGATTGTTTGAAATGCTGTTACAAACAAAGTCTATTCATTTAGGTCCTTTACCCCTACATGTAGGATATTATCAAAGGAGCCTGGGCATCCAGCTCAAATGCACATCTGTGTAGGGATTTGAAGATCCATGATGATTCAAAACCAGCATCGAGCCCAATACACGCCTGTGTAGGGTTTTGAACAAACATTGTGGTGTAAGCACATACTAGAACACCAAATAAGAACAGTTTCAAAGAGAAAAGTTGACAGTGAAGTGAATTAAAAAATGGGAAGGCAATACCCAAAAAGACATTTTTATAACATTGACATCTTTGAATATGACATTTAGTCACAAAATATAATTTTGAGTAAGGCCTGGGATATGTCCATGACAATATTGTAGTCATGATATCAACGATATTGAATTCATTGGTTTGATATTTATAGTCACCTTGTGCCTATCTTAGCTCATTGTAGAGGTTCATGATAGGGATAAAGTGTTTTAAAATTTCCCTAACAACTTTGTTCTCTCATTGATTTTTCATTTTTCTTTTGCTTATTTTACCTTTTTTTAAAAACAAAATTATATCAAATTATGCAAAATTTCTCTATTACTATCCCCCCACACATAAAAAAATACATATAAAAAAATAAAACACTAGCTCTACTGTCTATGAACTATTGTACTTACTTTGAAATATGTCAAGTTCTTATTATTTCTAAATGTTGTCAAATGGTCTCAAATGTATTGTATTACTTACCAATTAGCCCTATTCCTGAAGATATCACATAGGAATGTTAGATTAAGGCAGTCTGCAGGTGTCTGTAGTGGACAACTATAGGACTGTGGGTCAACATTTAGGTACTCTGAACTTCCTGTCACTACCTCTTCTACAGAAACTTTAGCTATTTGTTTCATCAAATATCTGTATATAAAATTTTGAAAACAATTATTTACAATTGTTTTATAAAAAATAAGTTTGCTGTTTAAGTCTAGGAATATTTAAGGAATATTAAACAAGAAAAGCTAGACTAAGGCACAGATTTCAATTGAGGGAATAGGTTTGAATAGTTTGCAACTTTTAGACTGAAAAAAAATATATGTATGCTGTTCAAGAGAATACACAAACAGAAAAAAATCTATTCACTAAATTGCAAATAGGACAAAAAATTATCATTTACCTAAATCTAAACTAAGTGGGAAGTGACCTAACAAATTCTTAACTAACTACTTAACAAACTTTACATGCATTACATAGTTTTCTGGTAAAAGAAAGACAACCTATTTCTGTCAAAATAACAGAAATACTGCTTTATAGTTTTGTCACATAGACCTATGTAGTTATGTTATGGTATTCTTTAGGAAAATTGCTTCAAAGTATAAAATCAAACTCCTTGTTGACATTGTGTTGAAGTGCTTTTCTGGATTTACCTTCATCAGGAATGCTCAAAACAAAATATTTGAAAGACAAGGATGTATAAGTAGTGAAAACCTGAAGAGCTATATAACCAAACTAGAGGCTCTCAAGAGCCTGTGTGGCTCACCTGATTCTACTTTGGTTTTGGAAATCATGTAAAAAAAGATAAAAAAAAAAAAACAGATACCCTAATAATGATTGAGGCCAAATTTGGTTTAATATTGGCCCCGTAATTTAATCAGAAGCAGAAGACTTTTGTAAAGTTTACAGAAATTACCAATAGATTCATTGAAATTGTAGAAAATGACTTTATAAGGACCATAACTCCAACAATATCCCAATTGACAATTTTTCTCATTTTCACTTATGTGTAGATCTTCTTTTCTTGATTTTTTTGCAGTTTACAGTAGATCTCAATTTATAAGGATACATGTATTAAGGTCTTCATCAGCACTTCATAAGGAACATTTATGCCATGTTTGGTTTCATTCCATTTAGTGCTCCTCTATCTAGAAGAAGCACTTGTATGTATTTCCCATAGGGTCCTTTGTTAAACGAAGTCCCCGTAGGCAGCCATCTTGGTTGATTGATTGGCTACTAAGTAACAACACTTGGCCAGCACCTCATTAGGAACATTCATGCAATGTTTGGTTTCATTCCATTCAGTGGTTTTCTAAATGAAAACATTTGTATGTATTTCCCTTAGGGTCCTATGTTAAACTAAGTCCCCGCTGGCAGCCATCTTGGATGATGGATGGCCTACAAAGTTACAACACTTGGTCAGCACCTCATAAGGAACATTCATGCCATGTTTTATTTCATTCCATTCAGTGGTTCTTTAAAAGAAGACATTTGTATGTATTTCCAAAAGGGTCCTATGTTAAACTAAGTCCCTCTCTGGCGGCCATCTTGGATGATGGATCGGCTTCAAAGTAACAACACTTGGTCAGCACCTCATAAGAAACATTCATGCTATGTTTGGTTTCATTCCATTCAGTGGTTCTCTAAAAGAAGACATTTGTATGTATTTCCCATAGGGTCCTATGCTAAACTAAGTTCCTCTCTGGCGGCCATCTTGGATGATTGATTTGCTACAAAGTAACAACACTTGGTCAGCACCTCATAAGGAATATTCATGTTTTGGTTTCATTCCATTCAGTGGTTCTCTAAAAGAAGACATTTGTATGTATTGTCCATAGGGTCCTATGTTAAACGAAGTCCCCTGCAGGCGGCCATCTTGGATGATTGATCGGCTACAAAGTAACAACACTTGGTCAGCACCTCATAAGGAACATTCATGTCATGTTTGGTTTTATTCCATTCAGTGGTTCTCCTAAAGAAGTTCAAAATGTAAAAAGTTAACGACGACGGACAACGACGGACTACGGACGCCAAGTGATGAGAAAAGCTAACTTGGCCCTTGGGGCCAGGTGAGCTAAAAAGACCAAAAATTAATAGCCAAATTCATTTAATGTCAACTTTGCCTAAGGAGATTTAGAAGTATAAAAATAGTTGATCAGTATAAATGATAATTTTTTTATTTTTGGTTGCATTTACAGGGCTACATAAGCCAAAAATTATATATATTCTCTTTTTGGTATAGAGATTATCGTGCAAAATTAATATACTGTAAATCCAGAAATTATTTGTGAGGTTTCTATTAATGCCAATAATGCAACAGAGGAGTATTGCAATAATAAAACTCGCATTCTGATATCTGATACATATATCTGTATTCATCTTTTCCTGAAATTACAATAAATAATCTCGCTTTTTTGTTAATTCTTCAAAAATCGCAATAATAAATGCACCTTATAATTTCTGAATTTATAGTTTTTCCTTTAAGTATGAAGATTACCATGAGAACCTTTATATAAAGATAAAAATAAAAAGGAATAGACCAATTCTAACAATCAACTATGTAAGAGTAAATTCATGTGGATTTTACCTTGCTGTTTGTAAACATACTACTGTGTACTCTCCTTCAGCAGTGACAACAGAATGAAGTAAACCTAAGACTTCTGATATTCCTGCCACTTTGAGGTAACCATGCCCTCCACAAGCTGTACGGCATATACTAGCGCCATCTATACCAAGCTTAGATGATAATCCCTTCAAACCACAGGAAATACTATGAATCTGTAAAGAAATCAGACATACATTGTCAGGAAGTATAGATAAAGTTTGTCACAAATTATCTATTTTATCTAAAGCAATATGCTCAAATTTGCATCATACGGAAACTAGATAGAGCGAGGAAATAAATTCAATATTTTTTTTGGTGAAAATGAATTCCTTTTAAATTGTGAAAATGTCAAAAAGTCCTTGAAGCCTTATCTCTGTCATATAAATTAAATTGAAGTTAATATGTACATTTTCTATCATTGATACTTTTTGTTTTTAATTCAATTACAACTTTTATAGACTCAAGACAATCTACAAATTTGAAAAATTGTATAGAAATCTGTCAATTGTTTAAGACTGTATGCTACCCTAGATTATATCTTTTTATTATCTTATTTGTTGGGTTACTGTCTCATTGATATATACCCCACATGTTTTATGTAAAGGAGAAGGTACGATTTTTTTGACCAATGAATTTGAAAAATCAAAAAGTGTTTTAAATCTATCAAACAATGTCCTTCAGATGTTCACAAGACATTAGACTGTCATATATCAGTATTTATATTGACTAACTTAATTCATACAGAAGCATAAATGAATATTGACTTTAAACAAAGACAACTCTACTTTTGGAATTATTACATAAATGAGAAAAACTATGAATAAAAGACATAATGACATTGCGTCTGTATAATAATTAGCCATTTTTCACATTATATTCATGTATAGGTTGGTTAATTTCTGTTTATGTCAAAACTTTTTCAAGTAAGCCATTTTGTTTTCTTGGATAAGCAGTAAATTACTAACATGAAAACAATGATACTGGAGTAACTTGAATTAAAAATCGTTTGACTCTTACTAACCAGTCATAGATAAGGTCAGAGAAACAAATCATTCCTCTACTGTAGCATGCTGTTAAGAAGGAAAAACAGATTTACCTCTGCCAACATTTTATAACTTCCTTTGTTCCTTATTTCCTCCATCATTCTGTCATATTGTCTTCGTAAATTTCTTGACATAAAGAACAAAGCATATGTATCAGCCAATACTGGAAATAATTTATACTGTTGTGTTTGGTAGTCCAGGATCTGTGGCTCTGGTCCACTGAAATTTATAAGTCATATTGTACTGTTGTACTTGATAATCCAAAATCAGAGGCTCTTGTCCACTGAAATTGAAATTGAAAAAAAACAAGTCATATTGTACTGTTATAACTCCAGACAGTTCAAAGCACCTTGCATTATTTTTGACAAAACAATAACAGATAAACTTAAACCTAAAGCATCTGTCAAATAAGTCCAGGCTTTAAATCATAATTACCTATCCGACATTTTTGACTGGTGTCTTACAGCACTGTATCTAATGGCAGTGGTTATAGCTTGCCTTAAAGCATCGTGAACCCACTTTGTCATTTTAACTCTGACCAATACCATTGGAGCATAGATGGCTTTATTTGGTCCTGAACTGGTATATTTTCCATCCCTTGATACCTGTAGAACAAATATTACTATTGTGAAAATTTAACACTGTAACTGTTAATTCTATTAAAAAAGACCCTTTATTGAGCAAGCTCACATACCACATTCCCTCCATTTAAAAGGGACCTGCTGATTGGTGACTGATGGAAGTGTACAAAACTAGATAGCACTTTTATATGAAGTGTTGGTTATGAGTTGGCTGTGTTATTCAAATTTTATAAATTTTTAAAAACAGTTTTGTTTCCAGGAGCTTTGATAAGAAACAAAAATTGAATAACATATAATAAAATTCTATGTGCACTATTTGGTGCATCTGTAGCTTGATTTTGATAGGTGTATGCCAAACATTTCAGGGCATCGATGCATCGATTACTCAGGTGGAAATGAAAATACAAGATAAGATGTCATGCTATTGATATTCAAATACAGGTACATGATTTAATTGTAAAATGAAATACTATGATACAACTGAAAAACAATTTGTTTTCATTCTCTGTTTTATTTGTTAGTTTTGGTACTGAGTAGTGTAATTTTACATACATATAACATCATGAACAAATATTCTTCAAAGGAATCAAAACCTGAGAATTGAACATGAATGAGGAGGCAATGAATCAAACTTATTTTGTAATTTGTTCCAGAATCATGACTTTAACCCAATTATAATAAAATGATAAAAATCATATTCCAGATAACATCCTTAACTGGTGTCAAATCATTCTATCCTCAAATTAAATATCTAAACTCAATGGAAAGAGAGAGGAATTTACATATCTAAATAAGTTATAAGGGACATATGAAGATAAAAATAATTTTCTAGAAATCACTATTAAAAAGGCTCTTGAGTAGAAGCTGACATAAAAAATCAGAATTAACAATTTTCTACTTTATACCTGAGCATGTTTCATCAGCATGTGTTGTCTTGGAATCCTAACATTTTTCAACAGAAGAAAGCCATTGTCATTATAGTCAAGAGTCATTTTAGGTCCTATATCCCCAACTTCTATACCTAAGAAAATATTGTAGGTATGATAATGAATAATTTCAAAATTAACTCAAGTAACTCAAGTAACTATGTTTGTCACATTGTTGTCACATTGTAGTTATAAGGAATATGAGAAAGAGAAAACAAGATCATAGAAGTTTAAGCCAACTTGGATTTAAATAATACAATAATTTGTACTTTCAATTTTTAGTAATGTTACATATATACAAGAAACAGGTCCTTCATTCTGGCTATTGAAAATGTCTAATGTCTATGAAACATATTTATATACATACTTTTTAGCCAAGCTTTCATTTCAGTTCAAAAAAAATCCAAATTCACATTTCAAACAATATTCATTGGTTGTTTATACAAAAAGGGTAAATGTGTTATCAGATAAGATTAAACAGAAGACTGACAATTGGCATAAACAAATAGATTGAAGGATTTGCAAAACAAGAACTCTTTAAACTAGTTTTCCTTAATTAGGCTTATGCTGAGGACCTGCAAGTTCTTTTTCCAAATATGACATAACCTGATGATGTGTAATGTCATATATCAAAATGATCAAAAAGCTATGACTTGTAGTTACTGAGAAAAATGCTTCCAAACTGTGCTAATTTTTGTACATCTAACATAAATGAGATATGACAAAATCTTAACACAATATAGGGATCATATATCTCGTAAATTCATAAATTATTATTGCAAGGTTATTATTTATGCGAATAATGTAACTGGGTGAGTATTGCAATAATAAAAACTCGCATTCTGAATTAGATACATATATCTGTATGCCGATTTATCCCATATTGCAATATTAAATCTTGTATTTTGTCCCTTTTTTCATAAATTGCAATAATAAATGAGTGTAATAATTTTTGAATTTACAGTACATGCTAAGAACATCTTCGCTAAATGCTTCAATTTAGTATATCTAAAATTGTACCACAGCTTAAAGCAGCAAGCTAAATATATAGGTTACTGGTTAACAAAGTTTTACAAATCATAAAAGGTGAAGCCATGCATTGTAAAAACTCAGATGATAATTATAATTGAATGATAATCAAAAGTCGTGGGTAGTTGCATGTCTCATTGGCAACCATACCATATCTGTTCATTTTTATTTGAGGTGTATGTTCATATGATGAGACAGCAACCCTTACAACACCATCCCACCATAAAAAATTAATATCAAGAGGATATTATACTGGTATGGTCTTCAACAATAGACAAGTATTGAAGTGTCTTTACTGTGTGTCAAACTTAAATATGATTTTTACTTTATAAAACTTGGGGATTAATATTGTGACATCAACACAAAATTTTTGAAAGGACCCCAAAGAGATACATTACATAAACAAAAACAACTGCTTTCATCTTTATCAGGGGGATAACAACCAGAATCTAGAAGAACAAACAACTAAAATCTGTTCAGATAAACATATCACTCTGTAATATCATGACAGTATAACAGGTGATAAAACTATACCTGGTAGAGGCATGTGATTATCTAAACTTCTTAGTTGTAACATAAATGGATGCATTCCATACTTCTTTCCATTAATGATCAATACAGCTTGCACTACTGCATGAGTTGATGATTTTCCCACTTCAAAAAAAATAAAACACAAAATGTTGTAGAGATATGCATGCACTGCCATTGAATAAAATTTATCTCAAGCTGTGTTTTGATATCTAACTATTAAAGGGAAACTCCGCCAAAAAATGAAAAATTGATATTTTGTTCTTTAAGCATAAAAAACCACTTGTTCATAAATAAAAAACTTTTATTCTCTATGTAAAGTGATCAAAATCGATTTTTGAAATTCACTATCAGTTCTCGACATATCGCCATCTTGTCGGCATGTTCGATCTAAAAAGTCACGTGATATCTATAAACCACAAAGAACAAAAAGAATCGGGGATTTACCGACCGTGCGTTAAAAACTCCCATCATCAATTGGGAATTACCGTAGACGGTTATTCAATGTCAAAATGTCTTGTCAAGCGTACGGTTGTTCTGTCAGGCAAGGTTATGACAAAAGTCTACATAGTTTTCCCATTCCCACAAAAAAAGAAAGAATTGTATCAGACATGGTTGTACAACCTTAAACTAACAGCAAATAGTTGCATCTATAGCAAGCACAAGTTGGTGTGTGAAGACCATTTTGAGCAATATTGTTTCGAGGGAGATTCGATGGTAATTATCCTTTTTTAATAACAAAATAACCTTGCAGTTCTGATAGCTATAGTTATCAAATCCTTATATGATAAGATCTCGTTGAATAAAAAAAATATAGATTTGATGAGGAACAGTTTCAATTATAAGAAAGACAAATGCAGTGTTCTTTTAACAATCACTGATTTACAGAAGATTCATTAGTATGCCTCTTTTATATAAAGTGCATTGATTTGTATAAAGAATAGTTCCGTATTAAGACAAGATAATTTTTCAATTAATAAAGTTATACGATATAAAATAACATTTTTTTAATTATGATATTTAACGGCTATTGACAAGGAGCAATGTTAGGAAGAGGTTTTAGCTGGGACATAATATGTTGATATAGTATAATATTCCCAGGTTATAGATATGTAAATATCGAAATATCGGACATCTCAATTTTTTTTATTAAAAGTGTTTTTTTTTTTTAACTAATCTTTAAATTATATCAAATTGATACGGGATCAATTCGGAACGGTCACTTATAAAGACACTAAGCTTTACAGTTAAATGTGTGACTCTTTCTGGTATGTTCGGTGAAAAATTTATAGGTTTTTTTTCTTTTTAAATTTTATTTACGTTATCTTATTATATATATATTTTGGCTTCCTCCCGAATTGATAATAGGTATGTCAGAATTATTGATAGATGTCGTGTCAGAGCGACACATTCAGTTAGGTATTCCAAGGACGTATATTAGATACACGTCCCTGGGTATTCCAGTGACATCCTGTCAACTAAAAATTCGTATTACACAATTATATAATACAGGTTCATGCATGGCCTCTTTATTGACGTACCCGGTGTGCACAGGTAACATTTATTGAACCATATATTTGTGTCTAACGTTGTTTATCGTGTGTGTGTTTGAAATTATAATTCCACCTTCTAATGAATGATGTTCTTATAATAATATTATCCACTATTTTTGCTGATAATAAGTTTAAAAAAATTATAAACATGACCTTTGAACATTTTGGTAAAATGAATATTGTTTTTCATGATTCTGGACCATATTTTTGAGAAAAAAAAATTCTTCACGCAAATACAAGCTTTTGTCGACTTGCAAACATCCAGATACTTATAGTCACTATCCATATTAATTCATTGAAGATAAGAGAGCCCCTTCTATATATGTCTAATGTCCCTATCTTTATAAGGATTAGGACGACAGGGGAAAAAGGAGCGGAGATAGAGTGGCATAGTGAAAAAAAAATAACCGAATAGAGAACAATATAGAGAATGATCGACGAAAAGCGAAATAGTTATTGTAAAGGAGCGGAGATTATGAGAGGTATAGTGAAAAGAAATGTTTGCTTGACAAAGTTATTGCTCGCTTTGATATTTTTAGTTATACAAATTCACACATCGTGTTCCTTATTGGTATTCACGTGCACTAACTTGATGCTGGGAACAGTATATAAATATATATGTTCCTGCTTGATGTGTTAAGTTTCTGCATAGCATGGTTAAAATAATTAGTATCCCATTTGTTATATCGTAGTGTCACGGTGTTACTTTGTTAAATTTATTTAGTTTGTTAATGATTGTGTAAATAAGAATAAATCTGTATAAAAACTTCATACCATTTTAGTGATTGCCTGCATGCGTTTGATTATTGTTACATTTAAGATACATATATACATTTAGAACCTTTCATACATCTTAAAGTAAAAGATGTGTGTCTGAGTTAAACGACACAAGTACCCTGTAATACTAGTACGAGAGTATAGCATGTAAAAATTCCTACTCAGTGTGGTTGTATTGGAAATCTTTTCATACAGATTGACAACTCATGGTCCGACATGCATGTAATATTTGAATGTAGGACAGAAAGTCACAGGACAAAAAGTCACAGACAAAAATTCACGGACAAAAGTCACAATTCAGTTTTGAGATTATTTGTCTTTGAACAAGAAAACCTAATTTTAAATTTTTGTTTTTGTTTATTTCTTGAACTATTATATTTGAAGCAACTTTGTGATTAAAATGGATTCAATAAATATCAATGATGATCAAATAATTGTAATGAAAACAAAATGTCAAAGTGGCTTGGTACTTAAATGGCTTCATTATGCCATGAAATATATCCTTTGCATGATTACAATTTAATAAGTTTTCATTGTCAAGGCTTATGAACAATTTCCTAAACTTAAAAATGAATATATGTAATAAAAATTAAATTTTTCAAGATCTTTCTCTTATACATTCAAATAATTGTCAACAAATTATTTGTGACTTTATGTCCTGTGACTTTTTGTCCTATCAAATTTGTGACTTTATGTCCTGTGACTTTTTGTCCTATCAAATTTGTGACTTTATGTCCTGTGACTTTTTGTCCTGTGACTTTCTGTCCGTTTACCTTATATTTTCCACATGACGCTCATAGTTCTTTCTACCATCATCATCTTATTCATTAAATATTGCTGTAAACATCGATGGTTCACACCCAAACAAAATTGGAGTAATATACCTTCAGATCTTCTCCGTGGTATACACTTGTGAAATATATAGACGAAATTCGGTATTGAAGTGAATCTACATCTCACAAACACAATTTTTGAATTACGATTCTGAGTGAACACCCACCAAACCAATACAAACGTATGGCAAGATATAACCATGCAGGCATTTAGTTTTCGTCAGACACAAGATAAATAATCACTCTAATAAACGTATATATGCATGCAGTTTCAAATATCAAGAACAAGCGGTCGATGCCTATAGATCATTGTTAAGTCCGTTTACTAACTGTTCAGAGTCAGACATGTCAATAGTTCATTCTTGGAACCTTCATATATCCCATCCGACGATGGGAACTCTTTCTGATAGTGTTGACGACATAAGCTTGTTTATCTGTACAAGTGGTTGCATGGCCTCTCCTGCCCCAATTTACAAACAAATACGCTACTAGTCTGCTATCTCTGGAGCTCATCCTCAATGGCGCTTATGCGTCAGGAAACTTACAAGTATACTAGTAAAGATTGTTTCAAGAACAACGAGGTTTGGACGAACTGTTCTAAAATCGTCAATATCAGTAATAAATTACTAAGATATGCCTTTAATTACAACAACTGTATTACTAATTTGAATTAATGACGGCTATCCTAAAAAAAATCCTCAAATAAATTAATGTATTAGCTTAGATTTATAATGTATGTATATTCATTAATGAAATGAACGATAATTGGTATTCTTTTCACAAATAATTTGTCTAAGTGATTTTCAAATGAATTTAATTATGTAAGAATGAAATGTTAATAAGAAAATTAAAAAAAATCATACATGTTGTACTGTTGTACTTTTTCAATTAAAAACTTTAAAATTGCGATAGTTTTACGATTGTTAGCATTTAAACATCGCCAGATTTAAATACAAGTTAAAGAATTCCGGTAAAGTAAATTAAACAGATGTGCAATGATTATTAATTGGGAAATGTAACATTTAATTTTTAAGATTAAAAGTACTATTCTTTTAACTTCATATCTTAACTTTATGCTAATTGCATAGAACGTAACCGAAAATTGTTCCATTTTAATATTGTAACACTTCCGGAATTAAAAAGTTGAATGTTATTAATTTTCAATTAATTTATACAATTTAATTATTGTTTCTCTATTGTCATCGGGTATTTCATCTGGGTATATTAAACACGCTATACTCTTTCTGTTAATCCATTCAAAATGACAATATTCACACCTGTGTACGCTTGAATTCACACCTGTGTACGCCTGAGGCTAAATTGCTGCAAGGTAAAGTTCAAACGAATTCTCCTCAAATCGAGAAATAAACAATGACTTTACAAAATAATATACACACTCTGTTCACAAATATTTTGCATTGAAATGGTTATCCAAGTTATAACGGTAAATAAAACTTAAAATATTTTCAGTTCAATATCAGTAAAAATGTTCTATAGATATTTTATGAAAAAATCTCAATAATTTATGAAATTAATTCGAAAATATTTATATTTAGATAACTTCATATAGGAAGTTTTATTCAATCAGTACAAAACGGTACACACATATTCATTTTCTTTCATTCTTATATTGTGGTTATTAACTACGACCAACGGTCATCTGTGCGCTTTTAATTACGTAAAATTCTGATAAGCAATTAAGACTTTAACAGATTTTATTTTTTCCCATGATTCAACAAATCGGGTTAAAACGTCACAACCCAGTGACGTAGGTCAACCAAAAAAGTTACAAATACTTGATTTTCTCCGTTATTAGACAGAATATAAATTTAAAACTTTGTGAATGTGTTTTTTATGTTAAGATGAACATATTTAGATGATAAGTAAAAAATCGCGGACTTTCCCTTTAAATGAATTCCCACACTGTTCCAAATATATGCATAGGGAGATAATTTTTTTTTTTTTGTTATTGAAAGGAATATGCATAAACATTGATTAAACTATATTCACTTTTGCAGATTTTATTCTAGCAGAGTTTTGGGAGCCTCGGTGGCCGAGTGGTCTAAGTAGTTACTACTGTAATCACTAGCCAGTCAACACTGAGGTTGTGAGTTGGAACCCCGCTTGTGCAGGTGCACTCGACTCCAATCTTAATTGACTAGGATTGTCCGTTTTCCGATCGAAGGTCGTGGTTTTCACCGGGCACTCCGGCTTCCTCCACCAAAAAAAACTGATCGCCATGAAATAGCCCAAAAGGGGTGCTTAAAAGTGGCGTTAATTCACCAAAAATCAAAATCAATCTAGCAGAGTTTTGTTATTTAATTGAAGCATAATGCTGAAACTGAGGTTAAATTGTCTCCCTTTGCATATACATGTAATTGTAAAAGTGTGGGAAATCATTAGTCTGGTATCAAAACACAGCTTGTATTAAATCTTATTCAATTACAATGTATTTCCACAACCATAAAATACTAATAAAATATTACAATAGTTTCTTATTAACTGTTTAAAAATCATATCTTTCATGTTTTACTTCAAAATCATATAGAGTGATATTTAATACATTTTGATTTACATACAAACTTTATGTACTTAAATAGCTAAAGCATCAGCATGTTTTCATTTAACTTCAGGGGAAAATTATGTGTGAAACAATGGTGGGAAATGATCAAAATCATGTATTATTTTACTTTCTGCAAGTCATTTACACATCTCCATATGGTTTTATTATATGCTTTGAATTCGGAATTCTGTACCCTCTTAAAATCAAGAGTGTTGACAAAGCCCTGAAGTTCTTGTCAAAAATAGGTCTATATAAAGAACAAGGTTGGAAGTTATCTCAAAAAAACAAACTCTAAAACTTAAATAATATAGGTAACATATACCCCACGATAGATTTTTATTGCTCATAAGTACATGTATTTGATGCTTACGTGACCCTGGCCACCATTTCATGGAAGATTTGTGTGGTGTATTAAGTATAAATTCCTCAGTCACAGAATCATATGTTGCTGTAGTCTCTAAACCTTGAAGATATGTACCTAAAATAGTAAAGCATTCATTTTATATATACTGCTACCTCGTATATGACTTCACATATAAATGATTCTACTAGAACTGACAAATGATGACCCATCATCTTCAACTCACATACATGGAGTTTGGATTGTTGGAAACAAAACTGGGAATAATTATCTTTAGTGTAAGGTGGATTTACTTTCCTTATCGACAGTACAATCCTAAGAAAACAGAGCATCTGATTGGGCAATTCTGAAAATATCAGAATGGAGAAGTTGACCGAATTCATTTGCCTAAAGCAGTTCCACCTCCTTGTTGTTGAGCAGGGGACTTAAACTTACAGAAGAGGTACATGTAAAAAAGATAAATAAATTAGTTTAATTTACATGTGTTAACCTAAATTCAACTGTAAAATGAATGTGCACAAATGTTTTCAAAAGCTGCACATGAATGTAATGGTAATGTGCGCAAATGTAAGGAATCGTATTTACTGTGGTATTAACTCAGGAATACAAGAATCATTTTACATTTGTTCCATTATTCTTTTCTGATTTTTAGACTTTTGATATTTGATACCTACTTGTAGCTAAATATTTTTTAATTTGTTATCTCCTATTCTTACCATGTCCCATTTCTGTCTGTGCATAAGTGCCAAGAATTTTAAAATTTGTGGCAAGTGGTAGCCATTTTGCCTTTTGTGTCTCTGTCGCTAGCCTTTCTAATGTCGGTATGAACATCGTAAAATGTAAACTCATGCCAAACAAATGGTTAACAAGACTGAAATTAGATGACAACATTAGCATATATTAGTTAACACACACATGTCTTGTCTGCTTTGTACAAAATTGGAGGTCAAATAAATAGTTTGATTCTTAAAGATTGTTGCAAAAAAGGAAATGAAAAAGAAAATTTGTTTCAATTGAAAAATAGGGTAAAAATTAAATACAACATTGAGTTTATTATTACAAAAAATTGTTGTTCCAGTTTTGAATGTTTTAAAAACAATAATTTTGATTTACACAAAATATTGTTTGTACCAAGGAAAACTAAAAATCTTGCCCCCCACAAAACATGAATTGTCAGTTCCTTCATATGTGATGAACCTTTGTATTACTGTTTACCATATTTACTATAATAATCTTTATTATTATATGTAAGACTAGTTGAATGACCTACAATTATTAATAATGTCAAAGCTTGAAAATTTTAAAGCTATAAGTAATCATAACATACTCCTCTATGACCTCAAATTGTTCATCTGTCCACTTATACTTCTGTCTTAGACTAAACAATTTTACACCTCTAGCAACTGATTCCTCATATAATTCTGACCGGGTTTTAAAGAAGTTTTTGTAAAAATCCTTAAACAAAGGATCATCAAATAACATTTTTTCTGAAAATATAAAATCAGAAAAAATCAAATATATGCATGTTTCTCGTTTCTTATGTAGATTAGACCATTGGTTTTCCTGTTTGAATTGTTTTACACTAGTTTTTTGGGGCCCTTTATAGCTTGCTGTTCGGTGTGAGCCAAGGCTCCGTGTTGAAGGCCATACTTTGACCTATAATTGTTTACTTTTTACACATTGTGACTTGGATGGAGAGTTGTCTCATTGGCACTCATACCACATCTTCTTATTTATATAGACACAGCATATAAGGATGCGCTTTTCCAAATGATTCTATTAAGTTTATGGTATCCATTGTACATCAAATATATGTAAATTGTTTTCTTTCAACTTGAAATAAAAGCATGGAAAGGGTAAAAAATGCCATACATGTATTGAATAGTAATTTTACTTGGTTTTATCACTTAAAGCAGAATTTCTTCCATCCTTACTTATTTATCTTTTGAGAGAAGACATTATTTTAACAAATAAGTAACTGGGTCAGATTGAGTCCTATAATATGAATAATTTGTCAGTACAACAGTACTTTGTGTTTTGTAGAAAAAGTGTAGATCTGCTTTAAGTCCTTTGACTGCCATATATATTAAATGGTTAATATCATTTTCCTTATTTCACATTCCTATAAGAAGTTTACCAAACCATCTATCATATAAAAAAATTAAGTCCACTACCATAAAATTATGTTTCAATAAAATAAATTGGACAACATTTTTAATTAGTGTAAAGTCACTGAAGTCAATGAAGTATTAATTCTAAGATAACTTTTCGGACAAAAAATTTAGTTACATGCACCATCACTTATGAATGTATGAACTAAATGACAGAACTTCACTAAATCTAAACTTTTGTATTTACATTGTATCATAGATCAAATTTATTTGTTCAGAGTATGTTCACTGTTCTTTTGATTGAGTTAAGCCATTTCAATTGATATTTTATAGTGTGTCTTTCTATGTTGTGATGTTACACTATTGTTTCAGATAAGGGTGAAGGTTTGGTACCATTAAAACGTTTAAACCCGCTGCAATTGTTTGCACCTGTCCTAAGTCAGGAATCTGATGTTCAGTAGTTGTCGTTTGTTGATGTGGTTCATAAGTGATTCTCGTTTCTTGTTTTTTTATATAGATTAGACCGTTGGTTTTCCCGTTTGAATGGTTTTACACTAGTAATTTTTTTGGGCCCTTTATAGCTTGCTGTTTGGTATGAGCCAAGGCTCCGTGTTGAAGACCGTACTTTGACCTATAATGGTTTACTTTTATAAATTTTGACTTGGATGGAGAGTTGTCTCATTGGCACTCATACCACATCTTCTTATATCTATTCAATGGCCTATTTTGCCATTTGTAGCTATATATATAGCTAGTTGCATAAATTGTGTGTGATACGAACATGACGAAGATCAACAATAACCATACAATGTAAATAACCAAATGACATAGAACATTTAAACAAATGTCAACTACTAATGAGTTTCCTAATGTTGACCTGGCACTTGAACATCTTGAAAATGAGGCAGGAATAAACATATTTTTTGTATTTCAATCCTCATCTACTTATCCCAATTGTCAAAGAAATCAGCATCAACACATCAACTACATGTATATGTATATGGTAAATTTCAGCAAATGCAAGGCACATGTAGGTATATTTTAAAAGGTGCCAATTTGTTTCACTGAACCACTCAACACCACCAACATTTTTTTTTTAACTGAGCCAGTTTGTTTCACTAAACAACTCACCACCACCCAAAATGATAGGATTTTTTATAATGTCTTTGATTACATTTAGTGAAATAGGTGAGTCCCATGAAAAATTTAATGAGTCTGTTGTTCAGTGGTTGTCGTTTGTTGATGTGGTTCATAGGTGTTTCTCGTTTTTTATATAGATTAGACCATTGGTTTTCCTGTTTGAATTGTTTTACACTAGTCATTTTGGGGCCCTTTATAGCATACTGTTCGGTGTGACCCAAGGCTCCTTGTTGAAGGCAGTACTTCGACCTATAATTGTTAGCTTTCTATACATTGTGACTTGGATGGAGAGTTGTCTCATTGGCACTCATACCACATCTTCTTATTTATATACTACATGGTTTTCTGCATCTGAATAAGGACATCTATTTGTGGTTAATTGTCATCCTCAACAGTTTTCCTTCTGCAAAAAGTTGGTATGTTGCTTTGATTCATGTTTGATACAATAATGATCAACTACATTTTTAACTTAATTTTCTAATAATCAATAATCATAACAGTCACAAGCCATTATTTCAGTGATCTGGGTAATTAAAATGAACGACTTGACTGTGTGCTATTGCAGTGAACAAGTTATGCAACTCATGATACATGTACAAGCCACCCCAGTTTCAATTTTTGTATTCAAAATAATTGATCAGTTTAATTATCATGATTATTACATTGTATTTAATTTCATGGATAAAAGTTTTCCAAAAATTAAAAGAAATTGTTTCCTAAACAGCCAAATTTTTCTTAGATATTTAAGTAAAACATCACCATCATAATTGTTTTTAAAGTCTGATTATATGACTGATTTTTAAAACTGTTATTTGTACATTTAAACTTGCTACATGTAGATGAACATTGTCAGGAATATTGTAATAAAACTTTTCGTATGAAAACAGCTTTACTTTAATTGCTGTTGCCATTGTTTATAGTCCTTTCATTTACTTCATTACAGCATTTAGACTGATATTTGACATTTTGATACACCAGATTTTATATTTTCATAAATATTTCAATAAAACCTGCATTTTCACTTGAAAACAGGTTTATTTCAATATTTTCTATGAATGTTATCAATTAATTTTTTCTCCTAGCAAAATGTTACAATTTTTTGGAAAACATGAGTGTAAATTTATTGTACTTATGTCAACATGTATCATGTATATTTGTTCTTCCTAACAGAAATTCCCCTGGAAATTTTTTATAAACAACGCCATAATATCTGTTGTGTTTGAACAATATTCTATACATGTACAAATGTACATGTACCCTTCATTCTGTAAGGAATAAATACTGTTACATTTGTTCCAAAGGAAATAATATTACAGATTTTGTTTTCACTTGACATCATTTGTGACATGCTTGAAACAAATACCATGAATACTATGAAGGAAATTTTATTTCCATGACATTTCAGTCAAACAAGAGATGTTTTAGGTCAAAGGCAGTGAAAATGTTACACAGTTTCATCTTTGTTTGGCAATTTACATGTACACGATGAAGTGCAGTAATCTTTTGGACAAACTAGACTGATTGCTGGGGATGATTGCACACAGATTTAAAACAGTCGTATCTTTCAAGTGTCATGGATTATGTATGCGTACGGTACATGTTCATGGTTGTGTCCTCTTGTCAAGACTGCTAAATATAACATTAAGTTGTAAAATGTATGTATATGTAACAAAAAATTTGTTCCGGCGTGACAATTTGTTCCGCCGGAACTTATTTCATAGAAAATATGTTCCACCAGAACTTATATCACAGAAAATAAGTTCCAGCCCTGTAAAATTTGTTCCAGAACTAATTTTTTAACCAAATGTGAAATAAGTTCCGGAACAAATATCACAGCTCCATGAATTTTGTTCCGATATAAATTGGTTAAAAAAAAATCAAATAAATTCCCGTTATAAAAGTTAAAAATTTTTTAAATATCAAATTAAGTCAGAATATCTGTTGTAAGTAGATAATATGATTAAAAAACAAATGCACAATTAAGATTAAAATTAAGATTAACAACGGTGATAAATAATTTAAACACCGTGACCATTTAATTTTTGCAGTTTTAGCCTTTTTGTTTTGTTTTTGGCAATTTTCACATTGTTGAACATATTGCTTTGTATCACTCACAATACCTTTCCAGTAATATCTTTCTGTTATCTTATTGACAGTTTTATTTAGACCTTGGTGACCACTATGGTCATGGCACATTTTTAAAATACTTTGGACTTTTGTCTTTTGTAACTATAAGTCTTGGTAAACTGACCAGTAGTTTTGTCCTTCTCAATATAATACAAATGTTCATCTTCAACTATGAAATTTTTCTGTGTGATTTTTTCGAATTCTTCTTTTTTCTGCATCATTTGTTTCATTTGGATATTTTTTTTCAAGAATGTAATTAAATATTTTGCTATACTCCAAAGGATCCATATTTGGATGTTTACACTTTTTATTATTATATATTATCAATGTAGTGCTTGTTTTATAATGTACTTGAATGATAACTTTAAACTCACTAATGACAATGCTCATTATTAAAGAAAAGTTGTATAACCAGTGGAACATATTTCACAGACTAGGAACTTATTTCACCAGGTAAGGAACAAATTTCATAGAATAGGAACTTATTTCACAATGTAAGGAACAAATTTCATAAACCCAGAACTTATTTCACCAGGTAAAGTGTGGAACTTATTTTATAGAGATGGAACAAATTAAATAGAAATTGTCTGTGAAAAAAGTTCTCCCGGAATATATTTCATGTGATATTTGTTCCACTGGAACTTTTATCACAGGAACAAATTTTGGCTCACATATACAACTAAACACACCATCTTGCAAGCAACAGATGTTATTTTCATTTTTATTATTTACAATGCTCAAGAATTAATATTTTGGGAAGGGATTCTATGTTACAAGTTTTAATATATTAAGGAGAGAACTGAGGTAGTTGTTATGTATGATGTGCTGCATAATATACGACCAGAGAAAAGGGGAAAAAATAGGACGATTCAATAAATCTTATCACGATTCGAACTACTGGATTTCCTCATTCATACCCATTTCTTTCCTAAATTTTGTTTTATCTACACCTCCATCTAAGATCTCTGTTATTTCATTGATGCTGAATGATGCATGGCTCCTTTCGCGTGTTAAATCTGGATTATTTTCCTTAAAGGAATCGCCCGTAGTCGTGGTCGCCATTTTGTCCAATAAATGTTATTGTCACATGATCACAGTCTTGGTTATTAGCTGTGGTAAAGAGAATGGACTTGAAAGCAACTAAACACCAGCAACCGGCCGTACCAAACTACTCTAGTGAAGTATTTAATTATAAATTATTCAATCTAAAAAAGGTAAGAGTTTATTTTGCGCATCAGTAATTTTCATCTAGCCAAGGCGTTTTCATTCTTTAAAGGTAGATCATCACTATAACATTTCTGCAGATAAAATTTTCTTATACATTGCAAACTGACTAACGATTTTACAATGTGTTTTTTATATAAATACATTGTATATTAAAAAGAAAGGAAAGTAAAAAAAAATGTCCAATTTTACATAGATAAGTCAAGAAAAAATAATTTTTGTTAATAAAAAGAAATCTATGCGATAGAATTTTGAAATAAAATATGAAAAGATAGGTTTTACAATATGCTTTAAGAAATTAAAAGATAAATCGTGTCATCGAACTTGCTTTCTTGCTACTATTAAAAAAATGAGAAATTCATTAACCTTCCTTTAAATAAAAATTACAAAAAGATTTATCTTCCCTTGTAAGGCAGAGTCCAAAAAATTGAATCGAACAGCCTAAATAATGCAATAAATCACTTAGTTTTCTTTATCCAAATAAACAGTCTTACCCATTAATTGCCAATTTGTCTCAAAACTTGCCGATGGCTACAGTGCTGAAGGTCCCGGGTTCGATGCAGACTTGGGCGCTGGAAATTTCAGTACATTAGTAGAGTGATTTTCACCCTCCCACACACATCTCTAGTACCCTTACCGGAGTTTAAACTAAAATGGTACTTGAAGGCCTCGGTTGGTCAAAGTGGCCCCCGACTTTGCCCTGGAGATCAATCTATAGATATATCATCGGTTTGTCTGTTCCCGCCGTGAAGCCCGGTGGTTTTCTCCGAGTACTTCGGCTTCTTCCACCATAATAACAGTTCTCCCGGTGTTTTGAAACTCCCTCTGTGTTGGGTTGGGGATTGTCCTGATGATGGGTTATATATAAGTTTGTGACGCATCTCCATTTATCCTGGTATGGAGTGTACACGGATTCCTCTGTACCCTTCGCGGCAGCAATCGTCAACGGGGGGTGCTCCGTTCACGGAGGACTCTTCGCACATTCATACATAAGGCGGTATACAGATATACGACCTGACTATATAATAAGGCTCTTAAGGCCTTTTATAAACTCAGAAAGAAATATTTGGCCCCTAGCTGGATTAAAAGCATGTATTCAGGGGATGGTGGGATAGACCATTCTTTCCCGGATCCCGTAAAATTAATCTTTAATTCCCGAGTCCCGATAATGTCATTATTAAATAAAATGTTTATTTTACTAAATTTTATCAATAGTATAATACAGGGATTTCATTAATGTTGAAACATGATTCTCACGACTTGAGACAGGCACATACAGAATGTGGCGGAGTAAAGGTGGTAAATAACACTACAGGGAGATAACTCTGTAAAAATCAGTTGAACGTTTTAATCACGTTCTATTGTTAAACACCCCCATTATACATAAGTAGGTATACATTGTATTTCAATGATCTTACTACGGTGTTACAATTTTTTTGTAAATTAATATTCATTACGAATAAGTTTATTGAAAGAATCATTGAGTTAACATGAATTGTTTCTAAATTTAACGGTTTGTTAATCAAGTGACCAGTTTAAAAAAAAGTAATAGGGTTGAGATCTTCAGAACTGGGTTTTAATGGTAGATAATTGGGGTTTTATTGTCGATTACATTAATTCACAAATTAACTTTTATACACTCTTTGGACAATTTGGAGCTTGTTACATTCTCTATTGTTGAAATATGTATGTTGCCCACTAGATTAGTGTTTTTGTTATTTTAGTCGTTTGGGTAAGTCGCTGCCTCATTGACCATGTTGACGTATACTCCTATGGTACGTGTCCTTGTATTCATAATTGTAATTTAATAATGTTAATGGCGGGTGTCACACGTGGAGCAGGATCTGCTCACCCTACTGGAGCACATGAGATCACCTCCGGTTTTTGTTCGGATTCGTGTTGCTCAGTCTTTGATTTTCTATGTTGTTTTTTGAATACAGTAACTGTTGTTTCTCGTTTGATGGTTTTTCGTTTTTTGTCATGCAATTTAATTAAAATATAGATCTCTGATTTCGTTATACTACATATGAGTAGTATAACGAAATCAGAGATCTATATTTTAATTAGATTGCTTGTAATGTCATTGTCAGTTTTTTTTTTACTATGAGTTTGAATGTCCCTTTTAATAGCTTACTATACAATAAGGATTCTGTTAATTATTGGAGATCACATCTTGTTTTATGTTTGGTCAACTTATCAATTCAAACTGAGGACACCACAATTCATGCATAGTTAAGATATGTTTTCAATGATTATAAAGATATATCACCAGGTGCCATATCAAATATGATAAATTATACCTTATTGTGAGATAGCCTACAAAATATAAAGAACTAAAGCTTAATTAAAGATCAGAGAAAGAAACGCACTATGTTTGTTTGTTTTTTTTTAAATTTTATTCTTTGATCTTCAAATCGAGTTTTTAAAACCAACAAATTATACACCTGGATATCAGTAACCGGTTTATCAGTATACTGACCATGGATTTACCAAAAAAGTCAGATACGATAAATAAGATCAATTTCCGGTGATGTCAAAAGTTAGTATATATTGTTACCGCCATATATTGCTATCACTGCATCTCCTTGGCATGGATCAAATCGATTTTTTTATGAAGACTTGCGGTATTCTTTGCCATTCATATTGCATCGAATGAATAATTTGGTAATTCAATTTCGTCCCAAGGATGTTTTTTTTTTTGTTCAAATCCGGCGACTTTAAGGTCCATGGCAACACATCAATGTTGTTTTGAGTTAATAAATCCTTGGTAGTCCTTGCTTAATGGGATCGGTCATTATCCTGATGAAACATCTCTACCTGTCAGCCAATATATCACATTGAGCGTATGTGACTGCAAAATATCATTTCTATAACGTTGAGTCGATAAATTTCCTTGGACAAGCACTTGGTTTGTTATGCAGTTGTAGGATATTTCTTCCCAAATCATGCTGCTTCTACTACCTATTATGTCGACTTCCTGAATTGATCGTAGGGGCGAAAGGCTCATTTTGACACCTGTATACGCTTGTTCGTCCATTACATCTTTGGAGAAAAAAGTGACTAATCGCTGAACCAATTTATGCGCCAGTTCTTAAAATTACATACCTTCAAAGTATGACACCAACAAACACGTGCTCGTCTGAAGCACATGAAACAGATAGGTTTAAGCATGATAACAATGCCAAGTGCAAGAAATTTAATTCTTAGTTTTGGTGCCCCGGGACTAGTACTACTGGGACAGTTTCGTTAACAGTTGAATCGGGCCAAAATAATAATTGGTTTAGTTGATTTTAAAGATAATTTAAAACAAGATTAGACAAGAAAAATGCAATGGCAGATAAGTCATCCCGGAATGGACATCGGTACCATTTTGGTCTAAGATGGTGGATCGACTCAGAAATTTTAAGAATTTCATAGTTGATCACATATTTTTGTAAAGGGAAAAATCTGACTAAAAAATGTAGAGGCCAGTGCAGATTGTTTGGACAAAAGTGTTTAAAATTTAGAGTAAAAGCTTATGAAAATAATTTTAGTTTCAATATACTTATAACGTTTTTTTTTTTATATATATTTGACAGAATTCAAATAAGATCGCACACTAGGAGAGACCGTCCAGGAAAGAGGGGTAGAAGTTGGCACTTACATAGAAGAACTTTACCTAGTTTAAAGATGTGTGTAGGATATTGCAGTTAATCAACTCTAAAAGTGACAATACAATAAAATCGTTACGTACTTTTAAATTAATTTGTTTACACGATGGGAATGCCATAACGCTTTTCAAGTTTAGCCAGTTTATGTTGCACTGTATTTAACTCAGTTTTGAACAATGGTTCAAGTTATCATCCTGTTTATAATGCAGTATACAATATTAGATGAGCACATGAGCTAAATGGGCTAAGAGAACCTACAAACACTGTCGTATCATCATTTTTGAAGCTTCTACAAGAGTTGCATAAAAAAAAGACAAAAAAAGAAAATTCAATTACTCATGAAACTGTAACTTTGTGACATTTGTAAAGATTCTTCATATTTGCTTGTTATAAGGAAGTTTGACAATGACGAGTTTTTCAGGTATTCTTAGATATCACGAGGTCAGTTCATTACGATTTTGTAATGTCAAATTACATGAATCACATTTAATTTTGTAAATACAACAAAGCAAAACCGACCAATAGACATTTTCACCATAAGCCAAAACAGAAACCAGGGATAGTTGAGCAAGTTGAAAATCACTTCTATAAATGTTCGTTTCAATAAGTTTAAATGAATCCAACGGTTTTTTTATTCATATTGTTCTGAGTCTGAAATTTCAAATCGATTATTACTTTAAACATCAGTTCACATACATTAAATATTTAAAACGTTAAGATTTATGAAATCTCTACCGAATATCTCAGTACAATTTAAGATGTCGATATTACTATATTTATGATGTACATTTCTTATGAAGCCTCTTTCGTCGAAGGGAAAAATCTGCACATAGTACCACAGTTGGTGCAATATAGTACCAACTGTGAATATAAGAGAATCTTTGATGTTGTAAAAGTTATTTCTTCTAACTGAATGTTCTACATAAATCCTAGGGTATCACCCTGCAAGTAGCTGGAACTTTTGTGTTGACATGAATGACTATACTATGTTAATTTTCTGCGAATTAATAGTTTATACAATGTTGAATAATTCAAAACACTAAGGTTTTTCTACCCCTAGGCATTGATTACCTTTGCTGTACTTGGCACAACTTTTCGGAATTTTCGGTTCTGAATGCTCTTCAACTTCGTATTTGATTTTGTTTTCCGAATGTTTTAAGTCGAAGCCACTTTTGAGTCTGGCGTACAACATTATAAATAATGGTAA